ATATACAAAGTAAACAATATGCATACAATGTATACAATGGTGTAGACAATGCATAGAATAACATAAGTGAGGTTAGGTTTACTGTCAAACGTCAACAAGTTTGTGAACCGGCAACTACAAACACATTATGGTTAAGCGTGCTAAAAAATAAGAATGTCGATGAACAAGGATTCACCTTTTTGAAAGATGGAAGAAAATATTCCGTCGAGTGCTGTATCTGTAAAAAAAAGTTGTCTAAGGTCCTTCATGGTCGGATTCAACGAATAAACTGACTCGTGATCATTTGAACTGTCCACGACCATAACTAATTTACTTTTCACTCCCCACTCAAGAAATCGAAAGCGTGCTATAGTACATTGTCGTCTTTTGACCTCGTGAGAACATAGTTTGAATGTTGACTGCACCTTGGAGTTTCACGAGAACAGATTTTGATGTATATGAGTCTCAAACTTGGAATTTTGATCTCAAAACTTTGGCAGATAGGTAAATCTACCTCAATGTATCATATAAGGCGGTCAAAAACGGTGCTTGTATGTTGAAGCAATATTTCTTAATTATGTGTATATAAAAAAGTAATTTTTGTACTATATTAGTAATGGTATTTGTAATATATTAATACAATAGAAGCCAGATTAGAGGCTAACATTTCGTATGTGTAAATGCATTCTTTCTAGAAGATTACACCAATAAAACGGACGAAAAAGTTTTGCTCGTCTTGCAAAACGGTCTAGTAACGTTGCAGTTATGAGAAAAAAACGTTAAATTTTTGAACGTTCTATGATTCTCGAGTTTCTAATTATTATTTCTAGACGTAGACGTTTTCCAATCTTTTGATCACTTTAGACCTTTAGAGATTAGCCAAAGTCTTGGCCGTCAAGAATGTTCCAGCGCCTAAAATATTGACAATTGAATGTTTCGCGCACAAATATATAATTAAAAAAATGAATCTATCACGTGATGACATTAGGTCTAAATAAAGGCTATTCACCTGAACAGTTACTCATTAATGTGTTCTTAATAGGTAAGTAATTTGGAAAGGATAACATAAATACACATATGGCGCAAAATAACGGCTAGTGAGTAGTAGTTTGATCATGTGGTTTATCGTTTGTACTTTTTTGGCTTTGTTCTCCAGCTGCAAAGGTAAATTACTATGTTTTCTATTTTTAGACATGTGGCAACAGCAACTAGGTTTCACAGTAGAGTAAGTTAGTCCACAGGATATTTCCTAATTGAACATCAATATTTAAAAGGGAGCGATGTTTGAGTCCATTTAAAAAAAAACTTCATTTGAAAGTATGTGATACGCCTCTGACTTTTCTTAAAAAAATGTATTTATTTATAAGGACATTTAATCTTTCGAACTTTTTTAATCCGACGGAAAGTTTTCACTTAGAGACATGAAAGCTTGTTCAGCATGGTAATATTGTCATATTAATCATATTGTTAAAACCGTGCATTGGATTAAAAAAGACAAGCGACCAGATTTGCTTAGAAATTATTAGGGATCTCAAGAATAATTTTTATTTTAAGAGAAATCGGTGGCGTACTATCATCGTCTGTCAAAATAGGCACGGGAAATACCGTATAAACGTCATCATAGGAAATTAAAAAAAAGTAGTAGAAAATGCCTGTTGATATGTGCTAAATTTCATGGAGATGTCAAAAGTAGGTTTAATAATAAATGATTTATTTTTGGAGACTTTACCACCCGGTATCTTAAAAGTTAAGACGTTTGAAGTTTTCTTCTTCAAATAAACCTAAAAATCGTCCTCTTAAATATTGCCATTCAATTATGAAACACCTTGAATAGTCAATCTGGCTGGCTGACAAATAGGGCTTCGCGGCACTTTAGTTGCATTTTTTGAACTCAACGTCCCAAATTATCTCAGAGCACCGGTTTCGTTCTCTTACATCAGTGGGAGATGACAACTGAAATTTTGATTTAAGAAACGTAGACGGTTCGAAAAACAATACAAAATTCTTGAGAATCTATAATTTCGATCCAAACCAGTTTTTTAAACCGGACACGTAGATTACCAATATTTTGGCTTAGAAATAGGATATAGCCATATTCCAGCTCAGAAAGTCTCCTTTTAAGAGACTGTCAAAGAACAAAATGTTTGTTTCACCACTAGCCTGAGAAATAACCATTATTGACCGCAATGCCTTATTGAGAAGTAGCATTTCTCTCCCTAGGTAAATAATGAAAACAAAAAACACCTAGGCAAATAATAATGTCATTTTAAATAGTCAATTTCATTGTACCAGCTTGAAAACTGAACTTTTATTTCGAAATATTCTAGAACGATTGAGGAATAAGTAATTTTGAGTATAGCTCTCCATGTAGTTCTCCTTCTTGAATACTACAATATTCGACTCAATATTTGAAAACGGCTTTTAATATTAATAAACAGAGAACATCTCTACCCTATTCCCCTTGGATGGAATTATTTCGACCCAACGAATTCAGACTTGGTAAAAAAGCAAGTCTACGATTTGTTTGTCTTCAAAATCTCAGTCTGAATGAAAGTGCATACTACAAGTGGATTTGACATAAGCTAATTGTTTGGCAGTTCTGTCATTTAATTCGTATTTTTAGCATTATCTTTTGAAAGTGCGAGTGTTTGCGGTAATTGTGGTATTACACGATTTCAGAAAACGATACTTCTTAGATAATTTTCAAAAAGCGATACAATCCTAATGAAGTTAGATCTTTCCACCGGCAAGTGGATTATTACAACGCTGTCACTTTGGTAGCCAAATCAATCAATCATAATTTTGGCGACAAACAATGTAAACAAATAGACTTGGCTCTATCTAATCTATGGTTGGGCCAGACTAAGCCAAACTGGCTGTCTGTTGCATTCATAAATTTGAGTTTGTCAGTTTGACACCGATTAACTAGATATTTCGAAGTATTTGTAAAATGAGTTGGATAAGCCATGATTGTGATGTAAAATCAAATATTTCATAATACATTGTGCCTGTGGTAAAAAAATCTATAAATAACACGTTTGAGTAGGCCATTAACAATAATCCTTCATGCTTATGGGGCGAATCAAACCACATATGTTTAAAATTTCCTTCTTATTGTACGACGTTTCGGTCCCAATGGTGACCTTCTTCAAGCAAAATTGACACTTTTTTGACAATATATTCTATTTATCTCTTTCAGATAACACGTAACTTGTTTTTCCTTTTATCATGTAAAAATGTCAGGAACATCGTACAATAAAGAGAAATCTTAAACATATGTTCGGACACAGAAACGTGGGCGATTACCAACATGAAAGCTCAGGAAACGTTTCAAATGATGATAGCCCACTTCTTGAACTAGGCATGTAATGTTCTATTCATAGTAGCCCAGTATATAATGCAGTATCATTTATCAACAGCAGCTAAAATGAAAGAGAACCACAAAGATGATGGCGGTAGAATTGTAAACGGTGAAATCACCGATATACAAAACTATCCTTATCAACTATCACTGCAATTGTTGGGTCACCATTCCTGCGGAGCCTCATTAATTGGTGACAGATGGGTTTTGACAGCTGCTCACTGTGTAGATGGTACACCGTCATTCTTCCTAAAAGTCAGAGGCGGCAGCACAATTGTAGGAACTGATGGTGGGTATATTGTGATTCTTAAATTTGCTGTTGTATGCTTTTCAGATTGCACCTCGTCTGACAGTTAATCGAGTAACTCGAAAGTTATAGATAGATGCACTGTTGCCAAAAGATTTTTATTAAATGTTTTTTTTTGTGACGGGAAAAAAGTTTGACATTTTATTTCTATTGACAGGTAACAAAATGTCACTTTTTATGAAATTACTTTTCCCGGGTAAAAAAATGAGTATTTTTTCCCGGATATTGTATAAACGATTTAGCTGGCAATAATTTTTATGACGCTACTTTGGCTACTTCTAATAATTCCAGTGGAGTCAAAGAAAAGTCGGAATCAGACATTTTTTACTTTATAGTATTAAAAATAACTTCTAAGCAACCACTAAGTACGCAATTTTTAAATCAAATCACAAAATTAAATTGACAGCTATTTGATTACAATATACAATATTTTGAGTGCTAGCCAATATGAGTGGTATAACTGCATCCTCCAGACGTGTATGTGCCTGCTGGCGGGGATGTTTTGTGAAAAATTTAGAAAAAAAAGTACCGCTCGTACTTTCATGAAATTTTTACACAATTTTGCTATGCCAAGGACGAAAGAGTTTTGCAGCTTTTGAAAATCGGTCCAGTGGCGGCGGAGAAAAAATTCCAAACACGAAAAAAAATCCCCCAAATTTCGTTTTTTGGCGTTGCAAAGGATCATGATCATTTTTGAACAAATTTTTAGAGGTAAAAAAAATGGAGGCGTGGGGTGTAGGGGATTAGGGACAGTATATCTCAATTGTTTTAAGTTATTATATTTATACGCTCATAACCTCGATAATTCTAGTGTTTCCGATGTTGTGGCCACGCTGCCATATCGGACCAGGTAGATATCGGTCAGAGGCGACGCTGCCAGATGAACTTCCGGTAGGGCAGTACAGGTTGGCAAATCCAGCTTGAGCCGCGAGAAAACAGAGTGGATGTCTGAGAGAAACGGTAATAGCCGACGGATATAGAAGTACAGTCGACGCGGCAAGTTCAGTTACCGCGTGCCAATTTCTGTTATTTCATTTAATTTTTATTTTACGAATACAATTCGCCCTTCGTAGACAACCCTTTGACTTCGCTTACCAAGTACACTGAAAGAAATTTATAAAAGACATCCGAATTTGGCATTTCACTAGAACTTTACGAAAAAAATGTTGGGATGCAATTCTTTCATTAAGGGATTGATTGATTAGCTAATTGTTTGATGGTCGCATATACATTGATTCTAGCTGAATATGGTGGATAACCCTTCATAAAAAAACGTGCCTCAGCTCTTCTGAGCCTAATGTTTAGATCTTTTCAGAAAACAGTAAATTGTGTACAAGGATGTTGAAACCCTATATCTTTCATAATGTCCCACAATTTATGAGATATGCCCTGCTCTAACCTTAATTTCTCAAATAAGGAAAGAAATATTGAATCTAACTGAAAAACGTAATACAAAAAAGCTTCAGGTGGGGGTTTTAAACCCTAAAGATTCTGTTATCATTTTCAAAAATTTTAAAATGGATCAACAGTTTACTATCCAAACTAACAGCACCTTTAGAGAATTTTACACATATCTCACAGGAATGAATCTGCAAACACTTTCATTTATCATCATCAGCCTCAAAGATTGATGTACGTCTCTGGTTTCTTACACTATATAGTCTCCTACTGATTCTACACCCGAAATGCTCTCTCTCTGAATCTTCATCTTCAGTTTCCAAAAAATCACTATCACTGTCAGTTTGATTTAAATTGATAACGAATTCATCCACAACTCTATCAACCGCGGGTTCGCGTTCTATACGTTCTGTTTCAAGCTTCTTTGTATGCTCGCATCTCGTTTTCCACTCATCACTCCCAAATGTATTAAAAAACTCATCGCAATGTTTTAAAACAGCAGAAGATTTAAAATCGTTATTGAGACATGCTACGTGAGATTTCATTGCTGCCCATACGAGTTCTATAGGGTTCAAGTCGGGGTGATAGGGTGGCAATCTTAATACATTGTGCCCAGCATCGTGCAGAATTTTATCTATTGCAAACTTCTTATAAGCAGGCTTATGTAGTTTTATCAAATTGTACAGTTCTGGCTTAAGTATTTCGTCCGTAAAAAATATATTTCTATGGCGAAGTCAGATCATTATTTCTGCGTAGATTTCCATCTGACATACGCTTTAGCTATGAATCCATTTTCACTGCCGGCATGGAGAATAATCAATCTGTCCCCTTTGGATATCGGGTTTTTTATGCCTTCCGTGGAGCCATCTACCCAGGTTTTGTATATAAGTCTCGTCAGAATAGATCACTGGGCGTCCTTCTTGTCTATATTTCTGCATACTCCTCAAGAACTTTATATGTATATATATATATATATATGTAATAAAAAAAGACACCATTTTGTACACAGGCTTTGATATGCTATTCAACCAAGATGTTAGGTCTCACCGATGCTCAAATGGGCAAGTAATTCGTGAACAATGAAGATGAAGGCTAAAGACAATTTGAAATCTTTCTGTGATAAAGTGCAATATTGTACTTTCATTAATGGTTAAAACTATATGCAAAATTTCGTGAACGAACATAGGCATTTTAGACAAAGTCTTCTCAAAGTAATTTATTTTTCATTGTTGCTTAAATTTTAGAATCTGCAGAATAATAATAATAATAATAATAATAATATTAATAATAATAATAATACTCATAGTAATAATCGCAATAGTAATCGTAATTTATTGTAATCGTAATTATATTTACTCTGTGTAAAGGAACAGCCATTCCATTTTCAGCCTCATTCTGCATGAATCTCAATACCGAGGCAACAATTTCTCGGCTTTGACCACTTAAAACTTTATTTGCAACTTTACTCTCCATTTTTCAGAACCTTCGAGTATAAATTAAAACAACCTATAGCTAACGCAATTAAAATTTTTACTGGAGTACCCATGATACTACCTCGATCGCTGCTGGTTTGTACTGGGGTGTCCCCACTACATTCTGCCGTGTCTACCGCCCATCTGACCTTGGGAGACCAAGCTACATTTGTCAAACTGTAAAAGAATGTCTATGGACTAATTGCATGGACCTATTTGGCTGACTTTTTTTTCAGAGGGTCTAGTTTATGCTGAACATAATCCCTGATGAACTATTTGACTCCATAACTGTTTTTGATTGTTTCTAATAAGTGTGAGAGAAATAGAGATAAAGATAGAGAGAGGCAAGGATATTAAAGCTAGAACGCGAGTGACACGTGCTCGACACCATGGATAACGAGTTTATGCACGCTTCATTGACACATTGACGCTCTCGCTTTAACATACGTGTTCTCTCTCTATCTCGCTCGTACATATTAAATATGGAATATCAATGATTATCTGCCGATACTGTATAGGTAGTGCTTAGCCATCGTCGCCATTTCTACCATATGCTGCTCAATTGGTGCAATATTAATGGTAACGTATTGTATATCAACGATTTATTGCGTTTCTTTTTCAGGGGAGGTAATTGCAGTATCCAGCAAATACATGCATGACAAATACAACAGAAGAACTGTCGACTATGACGTGGCACTTTTAGAACTATCGCAGCCATTTTCTCACGAAAATGTACTGCCAGTTCCACTTGCAGATGAATACTCTAAATTAGGAATTGGTGAAGTAGCGATAGTCACAGGTTGGTCCTATAATCTGTAATTTCAGATTTTTTTGATGTGTGTTTTGATGATTTTTATAATGTAGAAGTTAATAATCAAAATAATAACAATAATAATAATACAAGCTTATTCACGTATAAAGTATTACAGTTTATTGAATATAAATATGCAAATATACGCAAATAAACTGGAATAACCCCACAGAAGAATTTAATTCTTGTGCGTGGGAAAACATTTTTCATAACAATTTTTGCTTTAAACATAGTTAAATATAGTTAATACATACATTTAAATACAACATAACCATAAAGGTAAGTTTAATAATATTATATTCAAATACTAATTTATTTTCATTTTACTGAGTTTTTCTATTTCACGTCGATTGTCGATTATTATTTAATAGACTTTTTTATTTCAATTTTGAAGCTATTTTTATTTGAAAATAAATTTTATATGGCTTGGTAAAAAGTTATAAAATCTAGTGGAGATGTAACTGAATCATCTTTGACCTACATTTTTTGTTGTAAATGGTGTTCTTTTAATATCCTCGACTTTACTTCTTGTTTCATATTTGTGGTCCAATGAAATGAGGTTTGTTTTATTTTTATTTATAAGTCTTAAGTATTCTCTTGCATTTCTATATACGCTTCGAATATCGATTATTTACGAACTCATCTGCACGTCAAGTCATGTCATCCATGAAAATGCGGATCGAATTTATTCAGGTCGCTAGGAGGTCATTGATGTGTTAGAAACATTAATGTGGGATATCAGAAATGATTTGACGGACGATTCTGGCTGTATACTAGATGTGGTTAGCTTGCCATTGAACAAACTAAACATGATTCTTTCATTCGTCCGACCAAAAGACAACCCACCATGAACAGCTGACCCAGGTTGTAGAGGTATTGTCCTTGTATGGATAAAAACATTTTCATTTACGTTTTCTATATTTTCATTTTTGTACCACAAGCATTTAATTTAGCTGGTCGTACTATCATTCTAGGCATTTTCCCTCGTTCGATTAGATCTAACACCTGTTTTTTTTTCTTAGGTTGGGGTGTAACAAACGAAAACGGACGACCATCTAAGCGTCTGCGTTTTGTGGAAGTCCCAATTCTAGACCAAGGCACTTGCATGGAGTCTTATGGAACATCGAAGATCACAGAACGCATGCTGTGCGCTGGGTACTTGGAAGGGGGCAAAGACTCGTGTCAAGGAGACTCCGGGGGGCCCCTAGTTGTGAATGGGGTGCAAGTGGGCATCGTCTCTTGGGGTTATGGATGTGCCAGGCAGGGGTATCCGGGGATCTACACCAACGTAGCGGCGGTTAGGGAATTTATAAGGCGCGTTACAGGAATATGACGTAGATTTAAGTAAATTCATCCGCAAATATGTTGTGCCATTCAACTTTATAGTGTGGACGAAACTACAATAGTCATTATAGAAGCAAAATAAGAGAAAATGAAACTTTGTAACCCAACCAAAAGGTTAACATACACATTGCGCGGCGCCCGATTTGAATATTGACTCACATAAGTCGTAGTACCATAAAACATCATACCCTTTGATATATGAGCGAAGGAATGCCGGGTCGGAATGGCTTAATTAGAGCTTTTGGGAACCTAACATCTTATTTTAAGGCTTTGGTATATGTATGCCTAGGAAAACTTGCTTATTATTGCCTGACCTATGCAACCTAAAGCCACAGCTTTCAGGATGCCCTATATATAGTATGTAATTCGCCTGGCTTTAATTGTAGCCTCTCTCACACGTTCTATTTTCTTTTCGGTTATGAATTCGTGCGACAGGCATAAAATGTTATCGCCATCTAATTTAAATAAGCTAAGTTTGAAATGAAAATACTCTTGTTGATCCTCAAGGGGGGTTTACTTCACCAAACACTTTTTCATCTTCACATTTTTTAGTTGATAGAAAGATTAGGAAAACTAATGGCTCTGTAAGCAAAAATCGGGAACGACTCTATAGCGACTCATTAGAAACTATTAATTTATATTTTGCATTAATAGCTGAATGTTTATCCGTTATAGTTGAGCTAACAAAAGCAGGTACTTTGTGAAAATGTAAACATAACCTAACTGCATCATAATTACTTGTCATAAGACAAAGCCTTACGGTGCACATTTCCAATGCAATAAGTTGCAGGCACACATGCTGGGCACAACTTGCACAACATGTACCTGTAGCATGTTTAAATGAGATAATACTTGGCCGCGCGCATGCGCCGTAACAAGTTACGGGTTGTTCAAACTTCCGGTATATGTAGCGCAACATGTACCAATTTTCCACCATTAATCTCGATATCTGCAACATTTTTGTCCGTGAACATGTTGCGCGCCACAGTCACTAGGCACACTTTTATTCCCAGTTCTTGTGCGGAAACATTTCCATTTCTGGCATATCGTCGCCAATAAAAGTGGCATAAGTCAGTTTCTAATCCCTTCAGAGTTATAGAAAAATAATATTAGACTTATCTCATTTTTATTGAAAATTAAATTTCACGAGGGAGCTTAATTCAAGTTAAGCCAATTCGTGAAATTATAAAGTATATTTATCCTTTTACAGCGTATGGCTTATCTAAGTTACGCCACTTAGGAAAGATGAAGTATTAATTTTATTACTATACACACTGTGCTGTATCTATCTTCTTAAGTTCACATTCAGCACGAATACAGCTTTTTTAGCTTAAAAAGACAAAAACGTAAGTTAAAACATATTCCCTTCGAAGTTCTGAGTGCAGAGCCAAGAAAAATTACTACGAAAAAATATATGGATTTCGCTGTGTGAAGGAGATATACCGGTAGTTCGTTTGCAAGAATACCAAAGATTCTATTAAGTTTTCTCCATGAGTAATAGATGAAATACTAATTATTATTTTGTTTATCTTTAACAGATATTATTATATCATTGTTATTTGAGTGAGTCTTTTGTTTGTGCTGCTATATTTAACTTTAATAGGGAGTTAAATAGTTTTAGATACTGCGGATACTTATTTCGCCGTAATATTCATTCACTGTTTAATTTCTTGTGTTGTTATCTTTCATCACTTTAATATAACATTGACGTAAGTCTTTATTCTATGAATTACGACTCTTCAATTTAACAAAATGACCTATCTATCTTTTTTGGATATTTTGAACACATAAAATGAAAAATGGGTTAATCGTTACTCATTTTTTTAAAGGCTTGTAAACATGAGCAGATATACCCACACATTCAATTATGTAACAATAATACCTTTTTGTCAGCAACAACTCAAATCTCGTGAAAATATTTAAAACGGTCTCCCGTAAAATTGAAAAAATGAGATACGCCACTTCATGTTGTGGACGTCGATATGTGCCGACACATGACTCGTATGTGTCAGATCAAATTGTAAGGGAAACGCAACTTGAGAAATAAAATCATGCAGGCGGTTACGTTTTTTCTGCAGACAAGTTACCTTAGGTAACTATATAAATGACACTCTGTTATAAAAAAGTAATATCAATATCAAAATCTGATACACCCAACAATACCTGAATCAAAATTTTTAGTGCACCTCAAAATCAATCCGTGTACCAAGTCAAAAGCCTAGGTGTTTCCTCTCAGACTCTTTTCTTTGCTTTCCCTCTGTTTTTCATTCGTTCCTTCTCCATTTTTCCTTGACCTACGAAATGTCATCTTGCAGACTATGTAATTTTTAGTGTGCGAATAGTTCATGCCAAGTTTGTTTGCGATGATCGAGGGTTGTGCAACACGTACAGCTACAGCAAGTATACAACAGCTTGTGCTAAGTTAACATCTTGTAGAAAAACCTACGAAATGTAAAAAAAAACGACGAAATGTCACTTTTCAAGATACGCAATACTCGTGCGAACCGCCCAGACAGACAAATGAAGAATAGTTATCAGAATCTGATAATGACATTAACATTGTCAGAAAAATATGTTTAGGTAGTTTACTACTCTTCTGTTAGGATCTTGCCTCCAAATAAGTTTCAATGAACTTTTGTGTATGAACTGTCATTAACTGTTAGTATACGCATATAGAAATGATTCTATAAAAACTATACAAGGTGATTCAGAAAACACATTGCTGGGGTAGAATATTCATAGAAAAGTAGAACCTTCTAAGATTATTCCCTTCCTTGCATACCGAGTGAGAAAAATCCAAATGACTACTTCGATATAGAATACAAATGTTATTCAAGTTACGATACAGTTGGGTGAAAATATTTTTCTCCAAACTGGCTTAACTTTTGAGAAGTAGCAGGAATTGCAACCTGTGGTTAATTAACTTATTTAAAAGTGAGACAGATTCTTAGGAGAGAAGTTAGGGGCACAGAAAATATTTTCTTTATTATTTTGTAACGGTCATGCCGTAAAAATGTGCTTGCTTATAGTAACCACTATGCGCTGGGATTTGGCGTGAAACTAACAGTTTGGAATTTCTAAATGGCGGCTTGGTGGCATCTTGAACAATTGGTTTAGTGAAGTGAGAGGTGATAAATCAGTTTGAAGCACGTCTATTGAAACCGCAGAATATAAAGTTATTTAGCATTCAAAATGGCGTTTTTGTGATCTGTCACAGTTGGATACTATCGTTACTAGTATTCAAAATGTTATAGTTTGTCATATCGATGGAAGGGGCGCTATCGGCAGGGGTATTACGAAACTTGAAAAGTGACATTATGTCGTTTTTTTATACTATGTAGATTATTTATGACGTTATGAAGGTTTTCCTACAAGATGTCAACTTGGAACTAGCTATCGTTCATTTCATGCTCACTTGTAGCAGGTGCGGAATGAACTATTTGCACACAAGCAGCTACCTAGTCAACAAGTTTACATTTTATCGGTTTTTTGACATTATTTTTTACGTAATAACCCTGCCGATTAAACAATAAAGTATGGGACATCACATTTATAAAAAATAACAAATTTGGACGAGTCGTTCAAAGGAAACGTTGTTTATTCTATTGCATATTTGGACATAACAGTACATAAGAAGAATATTGATATAAGATACCATAGCACCTTGATGATTACTCAGTAAGTTATAAGCGAGTCAATATACAAAGACATTCAACTTCGATCAGTCATTTTAACATTAACACCCTGTAACACTGTATTAAAAGATTCCGCTATTGTTAAAGTCAGTGCACGGCAATATGATATTAAAGCTGCTAATTGTGTAATTATTTATTTAGTCATAAGTAAAAATAACATTGTAAATATAATATAATCATTAGTAATAAAGAGTGCAATATAACAACATAGAGTGCATGTGCGCATAATCTTGTACCCGGATTGAAAATAAAGCATTATTTCCACACTACCTTTTCATATATTACACGACATACAAAACTTCTATGAATTATTATTGAAATTACACAGCCATGATTTTCAAAACACCTTGAGGTAGGAAAACAGTTTAGAAAGAGTAAATATGATTACAGATAAGTAAGATATATTGCTTTTGAGGTTTGTCACTTTCCGAAAATGATCCCCACGGTACGGTATTATAATATTGTCAGCTTGAAAATCGTAATATTCAGCATAGCTTCAATTCTTATAAGTGTAGCTGTAGTTAATGGTAAGTCGTAAACTAGTTAGGTCGTAGCTTAGATCTATTAAAGTAGCTGTAACGATCAACTTGGAAATTTATACAGCGTGCGCAATATACACAACAACAATTTGTCAATTTTTTTAATCCCACGGAATATGAATTTTTTATACTAATTTCACTTTTTTCTACAAAAAAAGGAAGTGATAAAACCTGCCGTCCAAAGTTCAACCGTAAAACTTCGCGCCAAAGCCGTGACTTATTGTGTCGTAATAACTTCTAGGGTGACATAATGTGTTTTTCCAATACATTCCCTTAGAGTGTGACATATGACACTACTTCCACCATAAAACACAATCTCTTGTCAAATGTGAGAAGAATAAGAATTATCTGACGTTGACATTTTGATCTGAAACGCATCATCACATTTTATGGGTATTTGGAATAAAAATAAAATACGATTAGCTAATTCATTCTGTGAAGAATAGAGAGCACGTGAATGAAAAAATGGTGCACTGCATTCCTGAAAAATGGATGTAAACTTTTCGCACAAGATGTCAAGCATTATGATGCCTCGTTGTTTAGGCTAGACCTTCGCGACTGCTCCAATATACAGTGCCACTTATTTTTTGAAGGAGAAAATTTAGCAATCTGAAATGCAGGGTGATCAAACTGTCGCATATATTACCGTCAAAGTGACAGTTGAAAATTTCAGGACGATATTTTGGAATGGCGCACTGACAGGATGACAAAGTAAGCGTTTTTGTGCATTGCATCACTTGTAGCTCAACAAACCAATCATTCGCTGTAGTATATTATATAATTCATCTATTGGAAGGATGTATCCAAATATGTAATAAAAGATGGAACATTCCATTACAAAAATGGCGTCAAGTGTGTGGAGTCTGTACTTCACACGCAACACCGTCATCAATTCATAAAAGATTTTGTTTAGCACGAGTTAGACCCTATCGAAATAATACTTTATATCCGGGATTGAAGATAATTGTTTTCATTCGTTGTCCCAGAGACCAAGCCAGGCTCATGAGTTACCAAAAAAGCTCGAAACACCTGTCCATGGGTGGTTTTCCTTTGTCGCACGAAAGCAGCATGCATAACTAAGGCCCATATCGTCAGTCGTCCCTACAATTGTAGGGCGCCTTTATGACCTCCTTGATTGTCATAGTTTTCTACTTCTCCGTGTCAGAACTCTATTTTGAGGTTATGTCACAAAGATCTATTTGCATCAAATTGTGCTTGCTTTTGAGTTATATCATGTTTTATCAGCCTAAAATTTCGTACAATTGGAAAAGAAAACATATCTTCACAATAGGAGAGCGCTGACGCTGACACGGGACAAGTGTAATCTAGAAATTTTTGAAGGAGAGCAAGAAGTATGACAATCAAGGAGGCCATAAACGCGCCCTAAAATTGTAAGGACGACTGACGATACGGGCCTTAGACCCTCAAAGAAAAAATTTGGTCACGAACTTGTATAATAGAGAAATTAAACCAATCATCTCAGTCAAATAGGCCCATACAACTAGTCCACCGACATCCTTTCGCCGCCCTGCCGGTAGTACCGTCCTTCTGGCAACATTGCCTCTCCCCGATACCTGATCGCACAACGCGTCAGACGCGGCACATCGCCAGTCATGCCAGAACACACAGAAGTAGGAACGCGTATCGGAAACATTTATCTATCGTTCCAAGCTTTAAATATACAGTAAATCTATCATGTGTGAAATATGTCTAATAGGTGTGTAGAATTACTGACGTTGGGTGAGTATATGTTAAATATGAGCAGTGTCTCAGTGAAGTTGGCCCAACGCCCTAAAACATGATATTTGTGAATTTATTTGAGAGCTAATTAAACTTTTATTTCAAATATAATATTTTTGGTTTCTTACATTTACGGAAGGATTACAAAACCGACGCAGCTATTTTTAAGGCATTTTTATTTCGAAATTGATTTGTTTAATACATGATGGAGACTACTTAAGGCGGCTCCGACGCAGTAAGTTTCAGGCCAATTACAAGGGTTCAGCTGCTTCAAAACTGACACTCTATTTTTCAATATTTTTCAATGAAATTTATGCAGTATGTTGAGAAGATAATTGTCCAGGGTGCTATAGGAGCACTTTTTGAAATTTTGTTTTTGCACAAGTTTTATGATGGGATGAAGTGCGCACTTTTTCTGTTCAACTTCGCGATTTTTTTAAAAAGAACCTAGTGAAAAAAATGAAAAAGTGGCTCTATAGCACCCTGTGGGGTTTTGTTTTCAGCACACTGTGAAAATTTCATTCAAAAATGTCAAAAAATAAAGCGTCAATTCCGAAGCGCGCAAACCTCTACAAATCGTATTTTGGACGAATTTTGTCTACTGTTTGGTGCTGCCAAAACAAGGGTTGCGGCGTAATGTACGGACTAAGAAAGGACGTATTCAGATAATTTTGTGGCCCTATTTCATACAATATCTCGTAGATAACTCGTTCTGCAAATAGGTACTCACAATCGCGATCTCTGATACTCCTCGATCTTAAAGCCGTTTTACTTCCCACGCCATTGGCGAGGAAGTATTGTAATCGCGGAAAATTTCTAAAATGAGATGTTATGTTTTTTTACGTCATATGGCATCTACATCACGAAAAACTGTATCACTCATCATCAACTTGGAAATTACCGCTCGGATTTTTATGAAATTTCCATACTGCCAAAGCTTTCTAGTTCTACTCCACTGGCAACGGTGCTATAGACAAAAAAGAAAAAATAACAATTGCTGAAACTCCATTTTTGACGTATCAGAGGTTCCTAATCATTGACAATTGTACTGCTTAAAAAGGGGGGGGTTGAAATCAGTGAAACACGTTCTATTATTAAGAAGCTTTTGATCCCAGTGATTACAGAAAATTTAAGTAACGAAAATCCGACGAATAATGTGCTCACGATTTGAAAAAAATCGGTATCTGCTCTATAGGTTTGACACCAAGAGCCAACAGAACTGCAACTACCGACAGTAGGGAAGAATAAATTCGGATATCACTCCAGTCAAGTATAGGGGAATTTAGCGGGGAACTTTAAAATTATCGATATGTCAAGGAAATATGTTCTTGAGAATGATAATTTGGTAGATTTTATACCTGCATTTTCATTTGAATTTCATGACCCGTGAAATGTACCCATTTCACCGTTACCTTCAATTTGTGTACTGCAGTTTGTGATGTTTTTCTGGATATAAGCAGGACATGATTGCCTAGGGTGCTATCAGAGCTTTTTACAAAATTTTGTTTTTGCGCAAGAATTGTGGTGGGTTGAAATGCTTACTATTTGTGCTCAACTTCTTGATATTTTAAAAAGATCCTAGTGGATAAAATCGAAAAAGTGAATCGCTGGCACCCTGTGGACTTTGTCTTTAGCACGCTGCAAGAGTTTCATTTAGAAATAATAAAAATTAAACGTAAGCTGTGAAGTGTAAATCGGTTTTTGAGCGAAATTCATCTACTGTTTCAACCTGCTAGTCCAAGCGTCGTAACGGTGCGTTCCGACTAAGAAAAAATGTATTCAAATAATATTATATCTTTCCTAAAATAAATTCAAGAATTCAAATTCAAATTCGTTTATTTATGTCAATAAACAAAATTATGTTTACAATTGTCATGTGGTAGATGGTAACAATTGAACGGGAGTCATAAAAATATCCTACGCAGTCAAAACATGAGGAAGCAGTTAGGTAGTTTTTGCAAAGCAATAAATAGGTAGGCTTATACCTGGATTAAGTACATGTCTTGTCTACTGTAATAGGTAGATGGAGGTGATGCTGCCAGAAATGGATGTGTGCGATCAATAAACAAACCACAAGATTGAACTGCCGTGTCCATGTGTCCAATGATTTTTGTATTGCCCTTTTTTATTGCCTTACTAGAAAACTCTGTTGGGTATATGATGGAGTTTACTAGAACTTTACAGCTTGTTGTCTGATTTCTTCTACAAACTTCAGCAAATCGAGACGCTGTCAACCTTATCCTCTGATGAAGACGCCACAAAGTACAGTCCTGTGATTTGGTGACTTGTTCGATCTGCAAAATTTCATCGTCACTTTTTTTAAGTTTCCCTAAAAATTCTTGCTCAGCAACCTCCAAATCAATGTCGTTCATGTCAGGTTTTAGACAGAATTGCCATAAAACTATTCATTTTCTTTGGAATTGCTATCCGAATTGTTATTTTTATATCAGCTTTTTTTGGTCTGAGTTTCTTTTGAAGATTCTTGCGTTTGAGTCTTTGTTCCATCTTAGTGATAAGCGAGGTTGGACTAAGCTTAGCACGCAAATGTATTTGAACCACATAGACAGGCCGCTCGGTATTGTGGCTCACTACAGCTGCAGCACGTTTTCCATGGTATGACCACTTCTTGCAATAATTTATTCGCTTACCCCAATGTATTTTGCAATTATAGAGTTGAACTGCTCCACATTATTGTTGTCCTCATCATGAATTAAGCTCACTGCATTCGTAATTAAAATTGTCGCATAAGACCTTTTATTGTCCATTATCAACCTTGATAAAAAAAGGCACTCAAGAACAATCACACCAACAAAAGAGTACAGCACAACAATTCAACAACACAATATCGACGAACAGTAACCAAGGTAGAACAATACTAAATGATCACTTGCTGAGTACCAAAATAGGAAACGATTAACGGACTAGATCGCTAATCGAAATCCGACTCTGTTATTATATAAATTTACCTCGGCACGCACCCGCAGTCATCCTTTCCTCTTTTAAAGTAGCGCCGACAACCATCTAAGACCTGCCCACCATCGTTTCCTTTTCACCCCCCCGTTTTCTCAACAGATGGTACTCGAGATTGTAGGAGCCCCGTTAAGTTGGATAGTCCGTTCATTCGCATCGATAAAATAAAGGTAGGCTTTGTAAAACAAAAGGTAACATTTTACGTTGCTAAGAAGTTGATTTTGGACGTTCAAATCAACTTCCAATGTATTGGTGTTCTTGTTAGCAACTTAAAATGGTTCGTGGTAAAGCCGTTTCTGACGGAATGAGGAAAGTGACCATCCACTTGCATTTAAAAGGCCAAAATGCTTCCCAAATAACTGACAGTGTTAAGAAATCGAGGTATACAGTTCGAAATATTGTACAAAACAACGGGGTCTGTGGCTCAAAAACCCAGAACTGGAAGTCGCCCGCGTTGTTCCAATAAACTTAAGAGCCTTAAAACGGATTGTCAAGGAAAATCGGCGTGCTAATTATAGCGAATTGAAAATATTATGGAATCAGGCAACCACAAAAAAGTTTTCATGAGCAACTTGTCACAGAGCTGCCCAAAAGCTGGGATTTAAAACTTATTATTCGTTTTTAATTCAGTATTTCCAAGCAAAAGAGAAGAGCTTACAGACAAAGATTCAGATGAAAAATAGACTAGCGTGGACCAAAGAACAAAAATTATGGTCTCCGAACCAATGGAATTATTTGGAGTGATGAAGCCAGATTTGAAGTATGCGTTGGTGATAGTAGGTGTCGTGTCACAAGAACTAAAGAAAAAGTGTTTCAGAATGACTGTCTTAAAAAAGTTAAGTTTCCGGCTTCTGTTATGATTTGGGAATCCATGTCAGGAAGTGGAGTGGAAAACTTACACTTTGTAGAAGGGATTTCGAATTTTGATAAGTACACTAATGTGCTTCAAAATAACTTAATACCTCAAATTGAACAAATGCGTTTCAACAATATTGAATCTTCCAACAAGATGGCGCCGCTTGCCATACGGCTTGAAAAGTAAGAGAGTGGATGTTAGAAAACGATATTTCAGTTTTAATATGGACGTCAGGTAGTCCAGATCTATTGCCGATTGAATCCTTGTGGCATATCATGCAGAAAAAGCTCCAATCGAATCCCGCAAGAACCGTTCCAGAATTGCGCACCCGTCCCCAAGAAACTTGGAACAGTTCTACACCAGATGACTACCAAACATTAGTTGACACTATGCTAAGATATATCGAAGCAGTAATCAGTCGAAAAGGCGATGTGACGCAGTGCTGCTATTTGGTTTTGTTGATTTTTATTAATCGGCAGTTGTTTTTTAATTGTAAGCTTTTTTTTGTTTCAAAAAATGTAGTATCTTAGGCTAATATTAAATAAAAGTATCGTATGTTATCAGAAATACATTTTAGTTTTTAGTAAGTTTCCGCTAATATGACAAATTTCATAAATAAAAAAGGAGTTTTGATAGTTTGGCCAACTTCACTGAGACAGTACTCGTATACTAACTCCAACCTCAACCCTGAATTTTTAATCCCTACAAAATGTTTCCAAAAATGATCTGGAGCCTCTGTAACGTCGAAAAGTGGTGTTTGAGCGATTTTTGTGTTTTTTTTTTCGGTTTTGGTATTTTTCTTCACTGCCATTGGACTGATTTTCAAAAGCTTTTTCTTCCTTAGTATATTAATAGCCTTGTGTAAAGACTTCATTCAAATCCTAGCTTTCCAAGTTTTAGACGGGCCAAGGATTAGCGGATCTCATTTTCGAAATTTTTCGCGATTACGATACATCCTCGCCCTTAGGAGGTAAAAGTGCAAAAATCCTTCAGTGCTTTTAAACGTAGTGTCCTATATTTTAAATCAAATTTAGATAGATCCTTCCAAACGAAAACTTACAGAGTTAGGAGGACTAATTGTTGACTTACAAGCTATTGTGCGTATAAAAATGCTTAAATTTGACAGTCCGTCAGTTCGCCAATTTAAGAGATAGTAAATTAATACTCTAGGATTATCAGTTTCAAAATGAGGTACATATGTCACATGACTCTTATTCCACTTGAAAAAATTATAAAATACGACATCCATCTGGCATATTGAAATTTTAAGCTGTAACTTTAACGTTGAAATATCAATTTCATGCCTCCGTATTTCAGCTTGCTGATTCGACACATTCAAAAGTAAGTGCAGAAGTACCTCTTTGCAAAGCATTCTATACAAGTTTCAGCTGCAAGTTTACCTCATCCAAATGGCAGAATCATCGGTGGCACCAACGTTAGTATTCTTCAGTTCCCATATCAAGCCTCCATAAGAAGAAGAGGAGCACATATCTGTGGAGGATCAATTTTCCATTATTTCCATGTCTTGAGTGCCGCACACTGCGCTACTGGGTAAGCCCTTTAAAACGTACTTAATAATAGTTATAAATGTATCTAGGATAATAAATAGCATTTGTTGCTTGTATATACAGGGTGTTTCAGAACTAAGGGATCAAACTTCTAGGGGTTATTCAGTGTAACAGTAGAAAACATTTGATTTATAGAAACCCATATCCGGAAAAGTATCACTACGGCACTACGGCCCTAAGACGCGATAAAATTTAGAAAGACGATGAATTGTCTAAATAGGATTTAATGCATTTAATTTTTGCCTTTTGTACATGATATCATCACAACAATTGTTCAAAATGTCTTCCTGAATACACCGATTTAAACGTCGCACATGATTTCGGCGGACTTGACTAAAAATTTGATACTCGCTTTGAATGATTTCAAATGCTGTTGTAATTCATCCAATTAGGTCTCTGTTTCTACTGGAGTCTCGTAAACTAAAGACTTTACATGTCTCCACAAGAACGGTGTATTCAGGTTAGAGGAGGATATTTTGAACAGTTGTTGTGATGATATGATTTACAAAAGGCACAAATTAAATGCATTAAATCCTATTTAGGCAATTTATCGTCTTTCTAAATTTTAACGCGTCTTAGGGCCGTAGTGCCGTAGTGACACTTTTCCGAATACGGGTCCCTATGCTCAAATGTTTTCTACTGTTACACTGAATAACCCCTACAAGTTTGATCCCACAGTTCTGAAACACCCTGTATAAAATGCGAATCACCGCTAGCTGTAACACGTTAAGGGACATAATCGCTTATAACGCCCGAAACATATTCCAATTTTTATCCACGACTGGTTATGCGGTAACTAAGGCCCGTATCGTCAGTCGTCCCTACAATTGTAGGGCGCCTTTATGGCCTCCTTGATTGTCATATTTTTATACTTGTCCGTGTCAGAACTCTATTTTAAAGTTATGTCACAAACTTCTATTTGCATCAAATTGTGCTTGCTTTTGAGTTATATCATGTTTTATCAAGCTGAAATTTCCTACAATTTAAAAAGAAAACATATCTTCACAATAGGAGAGCGCTGACGCTGACACGGGACAAGTATAATCTAGAAATTTTTGAAGTAGAGAAAGAAGTATGACAATCAAGGAGGCCATAAACGCGCCCTATAATTGTAGGGCGCCTTTATGGCGTCCTTGATTGTCATAGTTTTCTGCTTCTCCGTGTCAGAACTCTATTTTGAGGTTATGTCACAAACATATATTTTGTATCAAATTGTGCTTGCTTTTGAGTTATATCATCAGCCTGAAATTTCCTACAATTTAAAAAAACATATCTTCACAATAGGAGAGCGCTGACGCTGACACGAGACAAGTGTAATCTAGAAATTTTTGAAGGAGAGAAAGGAGGATGACAATCAAGGAAGCCATAAACGCGCCCTACAATTCTAGGGACGACGGACGATACGGGCCTTAGACATTGTTTAGTCTTCAAGTGGACATGAGGATAAATAAATTGACCGTACTATATATGGCTGGGTGCCGATCAATCAAGCCGTTACCGGGCAACAACTAAATTCAGACAAGCAACAGGGAAACCGAAACCTGTCTATTTTCAAAATAAATATTTAATGAAAATGTGAAGTGAGCTCATGAGTTCAGGGGTAAAACAGAAAAAAATCTGCAATCCTGTAAGCAAGAATCGAAAAAGGGGTTTGCAGGATAGTTGCAAAGGATTTTGTAAGAGCGACCAGTTTGCACATTGTACAATTTGTAATATAAAACTCTGCTCTCAAAAAACGTATGTTGTTTGCGCTATCAATACAATAATAAATTTTTTTCTATTCTTTTTTACTATTTTATTCAAGCTTTCAATAGAAGGTACTGATATTAGAAGAGCTTTGACAGCTTCCAAATTGCATTCCAATAAGCTGTTACCTAATTGACCGAAGACCCCGTTAAATTATAATGTTGGTGAAATCTACCCTTAGTCGATAAGCATAAATAGCATAAAGAAGTCCACGGGCTGAAAGGCCTTACTTAAGTCCTGAAAAGTACACTTTACCATCCGGTCGTACATAAACGCTTATTACGCCCAAGACACATACGAGATTTTATATACAATTGGCTCAAATCAACAATTCAGAAATAGAATAAAACATAACTCGATAGTAATATAGTAACAATATTTATTTGTCTCCAAAATACAGATCCATTACACATAAGATTTTATAGAGGACAAATAAATGAAGAGGTCGTAGAAAGGTGGCCCTTGTGCGCGGGTATAAAAAGCGCAAAATACTGACATAACAATGATGACGGATTGGTACTCAAATTAATATTTAGTATGCCGTACACTGGCAAAAGTGATTTTCGTAGGAAGTAAAGGAAACAAACCTGGTTTTTGCGGAATTAACCGTCAGAATTTCACTGTTATAATATTCAAAAGCAGTTTCAAAATAATCCTTAATGAGTATTTTTAGTTCTGCTGATCCTCAGTTCTAGGTAAAAGCAGTACACTAAAATATTTCTCCAGTGCGATAATTTCTGCTCCGACTGGATTTTGAACTCCTGAAATACGTAGGCCGCGAATGTCTGGGTCTATTTTCTTCTTATTTATCTTCCGCTTGGCTTACGTCTGCGATCCTGAAAAAGAGGACCGTTCTCCGAAACGAAGACATCTGGTAACCCTAATCAAAAGATGTATTATTCATTAAAAATATTTTGAACTGGTATAAACTGGTAAATTAGTTTCTAGAACTAGTTCCTTACAGTGAACGCGACCTATTGAACTAGTTCAACCAAACGAAATGAACTAGAAAACACAACACTAGCGGACGTTGCGGTTAATTTAGTGCCCTAGGGCATAAAGGGAGTCCGTAGGCTGAAAAGTAATGTATTTACCTCCCGGTCGTAGATAAATATATTAATAAAAAGTGTGGACTCGTATTATCCTCATTATGTTACATTCGGTTGATTTGAAAATTTTATTTCAGGGGAAGTGTAAGTATGTATTCTGTACGAGTTGGTACAGAAATTGTCAACGATGGAGGTACGATCGTCAGCGTATGTTCTATTAAGCTGCATGAAAAATTTCGGCTGATGACAATGGAGGGTGATATCGCCATTTTTACGGTTAGTTTGTCCACGATTTTTGAGATTCTCACAGTAAACATAAGAAAGAATAGTCTATGAAACAGTTATAAGTAATGTTTAGTTTTTGATTTGGACACAGTTTATAGTTAATCAAGTAATTAAATCGACTATTAACGATTTTGAAGGATAATCATAATTATTTTTAATTTGATCGTGATTGATTATCTTTAATCAAATTTTTGAATATGACTTTCTAATCAGAATCGTTAATCACATTAATTTTGGGCTGACACTGCATTAAGCCTTGTCGCTAAGATGATTACGGTGTGTAATCGACATCAACTTCCAAAATGTTGAATAACCTCGCCATCATTTTCGGAAACTAGAATCATATGCCCTCTTCGGTATAGTAATTATCTTGTAACGTTTCATCCACTTCTTTAATGCCACTATCGGAGAATGGATAGAACAACGCACATGCAATGAATAGAGAGATCAATGGGAATGGTCAAATATCACATCACATCACATATTATCTCTTGTTCGAATACCTTTGCATTACATGATATTTATGCCTTTTCAGCTTTGTACACCCTTGACGTTTAGTGAGAAGGTTTTGCCAGTTGCATTACCAAACCCTTGGGAGAGCGTTAAACCAGGAACAGAAGCACTTGTGAGCGGTTGGGGATATGTACAGGTAAAATATCTAAAATAATACCAATGGATTTTCTCTTTCAGATCTTCGAGGAAGCATTGAACCTCATTCTTCACAGCGCCGTGAAAACTGAAGCGCCTTGTCAAATTTTCTTTCAGCCTAGTCACTGAATGGGTGCCGAGTTTGGACTATACGTATACAGTAGTAGGTGATGGTTTCCCGTCCAAATTGTTTCATTATCGGAGTTGAAGCGTATGAATATACTGCCGCCAAAAATTGAAATATACTCTGTCCTAATCCTACAACCTCAATTTATAATCCTTAATAAAAAATCAGAGAATAATCCGGAAAAAAAGAAGTTTGAGCGACAGCCGGTTCGGCGGGAATGAGTGACATGTTTTTTTGTGATCTACATGTCAGGTAACATTCAAAAAACAATGCCTTATTTTCGGAATTTTATTTTCTCGCTAGTTAGGGTGGGAAGTAAAAGCATATTTAAGCGGAAGGTGATTCAATTCCGGCGACGAAGTGAAATATGATATTCAGTGCTTTCTCGAGGATCTGGAGGCTAACAGATATGACTTGGACATGAAAAAAAAAACTACAAAAATATGCATCCATCGGATTGGAATGTGTAAATGAATATACCAATATGTAACATTTGTAACGATGTGTCAATTGTTTATTGAAAGTTAATGAAATTTGTACTATTATTATAGAAAATAGGAGAGCTTACTCTTGCGATTACCTCCATGCATTATGGTATACCCTTCTGTAATGGTTCACATGATATTTCCAGCCAGAAGGAGGACCTACGAGTAGATTGCAAGCCATCAAAATACCTATAATATCTGTTGAAGCCTGCGATAAGTTGTATGGGGAAATTGGTGTGACGAATACCATGATTTGTGCTGGATATGTTGGCAGAGGAGAGAAGGATGCATGTCAGGTATCTTAGTATTTTATATAAAAGTAGTAAATCACACAACAAAAACTAATTTTTAAATTCAATTTTCTTAGACTTCGATTTTCACACTTTACTGCCATTTTCCTAAGTACAGGGTGGCCAAGTAAGAACGCGAGGTACTGTATCATCGTAGAGGCTTGCGACAAAAAAAGTTCTTACTAAAACGGCCAAGAGAAAAGCTTGGAAAATATTTTCAAGTTTCTGAAATGGTCGCTAGGAAGCGTAACTGCAATCTTGAGTCCAAAAACGTGATGTTTCTGTGAATTCTGCTATATTAACCTACCTGATCTTAAAGTCCAGGATAATGTGACCTTTTTTGTTTGACAATTTTTGGTTTCTATAAAAAACACCGTATATCTACGAAACGGCTGAGCCAATTTTAACAAACTTGGGCTAGTTGAAAAGAGCTAATCTTGGGCTACAAATGTTGTAATATTTTAAGGTTTGTTAGTTTCGCATGTGGTCGCTAGAAGGCTTTCTTGACATTCCGATAGAAATGGTTAATTTTCTCAAAAGAATTGAATGTATTGGTATGATTTTTTTAAGAAATTCTTTAAATTTTTATTTTTTCAAACTAATTTTTGTGGAATTCCTTTTTATTCATCAGAATAAAATCACGCTTTTTGAATATACTATCTCTAAAAGGCATATAGGAAAAGGACAATTAATAGAAGCAGGTCATGGAATACAACAAAACAAATACCTAATCAAAACATAAATAATCCGCAAATTGCCAACAGCTGTCCATAGTTTCGTGTTACTTTGAGCAATTTTTGTGCTTTCCAAATGCGTTTTACGAACGATGAAGCTGTTGAATGCTTGCAGTTTATTTTGAATGTATTCAGAATGCAAAAACAGTTTACGCGACTCGATATAAAAATCGGCGTCTTTGCGATGTCAGAGTTTTTCCCCGATTAGTGGCGCTCTTACGAGGTAATGGTAGTTTTTGGCATACGTTTCAACGGCGAAGGATTGGAAGAACACCAGAAAATATTAACCGCGTATTAGGATATATTGAAGGAAATCCTCATGTTAGCACAAGGGCATTACCCCTTGAGTTGGGCATAACACGAAGAACGAATCAAAATAATTTGAAGGACCATAGATAAGTTCTAATGGCCATCAAAACATAGGGATTTACTTAAATTTAACTTCTTTTTTAATTACTTTTGGAATGCACCCATAGTCATTTAACCAATTATGTCGGAATGCCGAAAAAAGCCCTCTATCGACCACATGTGAAACTAACAAAACTTGAAATATTATAACATTTGTAGCCCAAGAATAGCTTTTTTCAACTAGCCCAAATTTGTTAAAATCGGCTCAACCGAAAGATTTGAATATCCCCGACCACTATAGAGATACAGCAAAAAAGGTTCAGATTATCCTCGAAATTACAGACTTTTTGTTAGGTTAATATAGCGGAATTCACAGAAACATCGCTTTTTTAGATTCAATATTGCAGTTACGCCCCCTAGGAGCCGTTTCCTGAACTTAAAAATATTTTCCAGGTTTTTCTCTTGGCCGTTTTAGTAATAAGTTTTTTCCGCAAGTCTCCACGATTTATAGGTTCTCAGTTACAGTACCTCGCATTCTAAGTTGGCTACCCTGTATAATGCTAATCTAACCATTTGGTTATAAAAAATGGGGTTACCTGGAAAGTCTTGGGGAAGTTTCAAAATATTGATATCCATATAGACTACGATGTGTTTTTTGCGAATTATCACTTTGCTACCACGCACCTTTTCTACTCGAGTCGTTATACAGTGTGTTTCAGTTTATTGTTGCATAACTTTAAGATTCGATGGAACTTTTAAAATTAATGCATAAAGTCTATATAAACATCGGTCGAAAAATGCGTGGCTTCCGAAATACAGGGTGTTTAAATTTACTTTTTAAAATAGTTTTTTTTAATATTTGATGTATAACAGTGGAAATTGGTATACAAGGGTTTTTTGGTACGACAAAACGAACCATGGGCATAGTTTTACTGTAGCCGCTAGAGGACGCTCTCTACTGTACCTGTAGTGTATTAAAATGACCGAAAATTTTTTCTTAGTACAATTTTTTGCTTTTTGAATAAAAAAGCTCTCCTGTGAGTTTTCGTTATAGTTAGCCGTTTTTGAGATATTTCGATTTTTAGGGTTCGATGCATTTTTAATTATTTATGGGAAAATAATATTTTTTTTTACATTTTCGATTTGGGCATTACAAGTAATTAAGATGATCGTTTAGATTGTGCTTTTAAACACAGCAATATTTCCTAACTCCAGATAAACATAAAAAACAGAATATTAACTTGTTTAATTTTCCAATATTATTTTTAACAAATTAAATTAATTATTTACAACTAAAATGCTATTGGATAGTTAGGACAAATATACAAAATCTAAAGTAGTTGCTCGAAATGTAAACCCAATAGTTCAATACACAATTCACATCTACGAATGATCGAACGTGGTATAGCATTATTCAAATAAGGCCTTATTTCATCACATGCATTCCTGAAAAGAGAAAGAAATCTAATGGATTTAGGTCAGAGGATCGTGGAGGCCAGGCGACTGGTCCTCCACGGCCGATCCATCCTTCTGGATAATTTTCGTCCAGCCAGTTTCTAACTATTCTCGAATAATTCGCTGGACAACCATCAAGCTGGAACAAGGCCAATCTTCTTAAATCTAACATAACATCATCCCACATATTTGCATGTTCAGCCTTTAAAAATTCCAAGAAGGTCGCAGCATTTAACCTTGCAGGCAAAAGGTAGGGTCCAAATAGTCGATTACGGTAGATACCAATCTACACGTTCACACTAAATTCATGCTGAAAATTTCTTCCCCGAACTGCATGCGGATTTTCATGCGACCAAATATGTTGATTATGAAAATTTACCACTCCACGGCTAGTGAAGCATGACTCATCGGTCCATAAAACGTTACTTAAAAACTCCCTTTATTATCAGTTCTATCAAGAATCCACTGACAAAATGTGATTCTTCGTTCTCCGTCCCCTGGCTGTAGTCCTTGCACAGGTTGCAAATGGTAAGGAAGTCTATGGTCATTTCTAGGAACACGGTGAACATGGCTTGCTGAAATTCCCAACGCACCAGAAACTCTCCTAACACTTGTGGTCGCATCTCTATCAAACTCACGCAGAATCATACGGGTAAATCTGCGCTGACGAACATTTATGTTTTGATCCCTTTGGAGATTTCCAAAACCATTTTCAATTATTTGACGATGCACTCTTACAAATACTGAGCGAGTTGGATGTCGTCTGTTTGGAAATCTTCGTGCGTATTCTCTGGCTGCTTCTGCTGCGTTTCCATTTACAAAGCCATACACAAAATGAATATCCGCTAACTCTTGATTGGAGAATAAAAATGGAATTTTTATAAAACTTACAAAAAAAAAACAGGTAAAAGAAACTAAATTTCGTGCATTCACAATTGCAAAAAAAACGTTTTAGGTTTCAACAGACAACAAAACTAACTGTCAACTAATTGACGTCTAACCTTATTCTGCTCTCAATTTCAAAAATATTTTAGGCACAGCCTACTTCTGAAAATTATCTAGATACTGACTTTTTAACGTTATTTTATCATAAATAATTAAAAATGCATCGAACCTTAAAAATCGAAATATCTCAAAAACGGCTAACTATAACGAAAATTCACTAGAGAGCTTTTTTATGTTGAAAAGTGCGAAGAATCAGTTTTTTTTATTCAAAAAGCAAAAAATTGTACTAAGAAAAATTTTTCGGTCATTTTAATACACTGCAGTTACAGTAGAGAGCGCCCTCTAGCGGCTACAGTAAAACTATGCCCATGGTTCGTTTTGTCGTACCAAAAAACCCTTTTATACCAATTTTCACTGTTATACATCATATATTGTTCGAACTATTTAAAAAAAACTATTTTAGAAAGTACATTTAAACACCCTGTATTTCGGAAGCCACGCATTTTTCGACCCATGTTTATATAGACTTTATGCATCAATTTTAAAAGTTCTATCGAATCTTAAAGTTATGCAACAATGAAGTGAAACACCCTGTATTTGAAAAATCGACCCAAAAACAGCTTTTTGGCAGTATCTAGGTTTTGACTCATTTGACAATGAGAATAGTTGCATATAAAAGCAAACTACGATTATAAAAATTCCTGCAGTTTTGGCGTACATGTGCGGTACATAAGTACAAATATATGGGAAGATTTATTTTGGTTCCATGATTTAGCAGTTTTAGCTGAAACATTTTAGAAACGTTTTTTAAATCACTGCTTGCTTGCACTTGGGAAAATAGCATCCAAAAATATACTAGAACAAGATTTCGCTGCGCTTGTACACCAAAAATGTCCAACTTGAAAAAATATTACTACCTGAACAAATTTTCTTCAACTATTAATATAGCTTCCGTTGGTCCAACCACAGACGGTGAACCACGAACAACTGTTTCGTGCTATTTGGCAACTCTTTAGTATGGTCTACGGTTGGTTTCAGGTAGGACAACAAACGAGATTTGAGCGTAGTAGCATATACTATATATAGCTCTAGAATAAGCGGCATCTAACGACCACAGCGCTGACCGGCACAGCTATTATGTAAAAAACCTAAAAAACGTCAAAAAACCGAAGAAATGTCATCTTGCAGACGAAGTGTGCAAATAGTTCCTTCCAAGTTTGCTTGCTATGATTGCTGTTCGCTGACGTTTAAGCAACACGTACAGCTACAAAACGAGTTCACAACAAGTGTACAACAGCTTGTGCTAAGTTAACATCTTGAAGAAAAACCTACGAAGTGTCAAAAAACTTACGAAAAGTAAAAAAGCTGACAAAATATAAGTTTTGAGATACGTAATACTCGTGCCGGCTGACAATACCAACTGGAGTAGACAGCTTGCTGCCTCCAGCGATCGATTCACTACATATGTCTTATTTCGATATATTTCCTCTATTTCAATGTGTCAACGTTATTTTTCTTGAAAAAGACAAAACTAGAAATAAAGGAAATGTATAGTGAATGAAGCCTTGGGTCTTTATTTTCTCAGTATCTAGCGAAGTAAAAAATGGGAACGAGTACACAAACATGTATAAAAGTAATGATGTTCGGTACTGTCACATACACCTCAGTTAAAACTGCTAAAGATTTTCCACATATTAATTTACATATTGTAGAATATGTATTTCATTTATTTCATTTACTATAGAAGGAAACTGTTTTTCTAACGCAGAAAACAAAATAACAAAGTGAAAATTCACATACAGCACATCGAGATCTATAGGTGTATCGCCTTTTCAAAACTCCCTCAAAATACTTTTATGTAAAACAACTGTCTCCTCTCTCAATGATGATCCACGCGGGTTAAAAAATTGACAAGATCAATAAAATTTAATCGAGTAGACTTTAACAATCGCTTGCTGCGATATTACCTATTACTTTTATTTGTAATATACTATTCTTCTCAACAGGGTGACTCTGGAGGTCCACTTCTAGCAGATGGAAAACTCTTTGGCATAGTCTCTTGGGGATATGGTTGTGCTGATCCTAATTTTCCTGGAGTATATACAAATGTTGCAAAATATCGAGCTTGGATACGCCAGACAACATATTACTGAATCCAAAACATTCCAAAAATTTTGTAAATAAAGATAATATACACCAATATGATTTTAAGTTTATTCACGGACACAGGAAAAAATTAAAAACATTAACACCTTCCTTTTTAGGTCCTTTTGAGCCACATTGCAGTGAGGGCAATACTGACATCGCTTGAAAAATTATCTATTAGTGTTTGAGATGATGCTCCACTTCACAGACCTGTCTGTTAGTCTGTCTATCAGTATTTGTCTTTGCGCGATGGACACCGGTCAGTTTGTTATTCTGTCGATCTAGTCATCTAAAAATCTGGAAGGTATTAAAAAGGAAGAAACAGTGAGGAGGAAAATGCAACTACATAGAAACATATCATATCGTCGTTAATTTCACAAAGGGACGTATCTCAAAAGAACGCTTTTTTGAGAAACCACCAAACACTTTTAACGTATATAAAACCTTTTCATCCCACAAAGTGTCGTACCTCTGTCTGTTATACTTTTTCTCATAACTACCATTTGGCCGGTGACGAATCTCATAACTGTGAAATTCATTAATCTCACAAGCTGACCTAATTCGAGCTAGGTTGGCGAAAGAGTTAAGAGTTCTGACAAGAATGAAATCCAACAATGCAGATTCCGTGAAATGGGCTGAAATTATGGAGTTAAAAGTTTCAAAAAATCACCTACAACAGATTTTTTCAAAACTAGTCATCTTAACGATAACTTCATGGTTTTATCTTTGAAACGTATCGGGACAGCTGACCTTAGAAAAGTTCTAAATCGTTTGAATACCCAACCAAATAAAATTTCTGAAGAAAAATATTCAGATTTACATCTAGGCATGTGGGAAAAAATCCACCCATCCGTCTCGAAGGGCAAATTATATTTTTATTCAATCTTTAAGAACTTTTGTACCTATTTCCAGACTTTATTGTTCCGTGTTTGTATACTTAATAATGTAACCTAAAAATTTTACATAAATATGTCTTTCATTAATCTGTGTTTCATATTATGTCAAGTTTGCTTTAAAAATATTTGTATTCTAGTTTGAATATTTCAAATAAAAAATGTTTATTTCGAAGTGGTTATGTTATCAAAAGAAATAATACTTTACAATTGATCGCAACGACATGTCCCAATATTCAGATACATGTTATTCTTACAAACGGTCGCATCTAGTTGTTTTTTCCTTGGCTCAAGGTAAAAAAAATATATCACTAAATAAAATAAACCTACAATATAAAGCCCTTGAACAGTAAAACCAAACCAGTTCTATATAATTAAACAAATGATTTTTAGCTTTTATCAAAAGGCAAAGATGACGAAAATCTTTGAACATCCGTCCTGAGAAATAACAAAAAAATGAGATACGACACTTGTGAAATTAACGACGATTTCCAAAATCCAAGGGTAAAACATAACAAACGTTCATGTCATCACTATGAGTGCCTATTAGAGGGAGCAAGGCACCCCATCCTGACTTCCCCAAGAGGAATAAAATACAGGGTTTGTCCGGAAAGTAATAGGACTCATTTTATTCCGACATGCACAATTGTGCATATTATGCACAATTTTACGAACATATGCACAACATGCACCCCTCACACAAAATATGCACAATCGCCAATAAATAAAGTGCATTTTTTATACAAAACTGGCAATACATTTTCTTAACAGCTTCACGAACTGAGTGAAATGTACTGTTAGATACAAACAAAATACGAATCCAGTAATTATTTGTAACGCATCCGAGTCCCGATGTTTGTTCATAATTGATGGCCCTAGTTAAATTTAATAAATAAATATTTTTTTTATTCCTGGATTATTTTCTTAAATTCTTATTAAACATTAAAAAGGTTCCACGTCAATGGTATGAAATTTCAGTTTTTTGAAATTGGCGGCTGCGCCAGAAAATTAGTATACATATATCATATATGCACATTTTTAAAGAAATATGCACAGTTTCTATTGACATCTTTGCACAATTCAAAATCTATCGAGAACAACACTGGTAGAGGGCGTTCCTAGCTGGTCAGTTGTCTCCGAGCACTTGGAGAGTCAAGACACGCATTTTCGCACGACGTGTTTCTATGAGTGGTGCAAGCCGAAAATGCAGCGTTCGTTAGAGCAGAGGTACGCGATTAAATTCTGTGTGAAACTCGGTAAATCTGCGACAGAGACGTTTGATATGATCAAGCAGGCTTACCCAGGTGTTGCTTTAACAAGGAGTGGTGTGTTTCGGTGGCACCAGGCCTTTTTGGAGGGCCGGGAAGAGGTCGCTGATGAAGACCGTGCTGGAAGACCTTCGACTTCGACAAACACCGATAATGTGACTCGTGTGCGCAAATTTTTGAACTCAGACCGTCGACTAAGTATTCGTTTAATTGCCCAGTTTTTAAATTTACCAAAATCTCTGGTTCATTACATTGTGACACAGCATTTGAACATGCGCAAGGTGTGCGCGAAGATGGTCCCAAAAGTGCTCACTGACGACCAGAAATTGCGGCGAGTGGAAGTGTGCCAAGAAAATTTGAACATGTGTGAAAGTGACCCCCAATTTTTTAATAACGTAATCACAGGTGACGAGTCGTGGATCTTTGAGTATGATGCCGAGACAAAGAGGCAATCTTCCGAGTGGCACACGACGGCGTCTCCTCGCCCGAAAAAGGGAAGCATGAGCAAATCCAAAGTGAAAACGATGCTCATTGTCTTTTTTGACATCAAAAGCATCGTACAGCATGAATTTGTTCCTCCTGGACAAACCGTCAACACCAAGTTTTACGTGGAAGTGCTCAGGAGACTCAAACGAAGGATCAGTCGGATCCGACAAGGCATCGCAGCCGACTGGAAGTTGCACCACGACAACGCCCCGGCTCAGACCGCCTTTCTTGTGAACAGCTACCTGACCAAGGCGGGCATCCCAACACTTCTGCAGCCGCCCTACAGCCCAGATGTGCCCCCCCGGACTTATTTTTGTTTCCTCGGCTGAAAAGGCCGATGAAAGGCAAGCATTTTGAGACGACAGAGGGGATCCAAGCAACATGCACCGCGGCTCTCAAGGCTATTCCGGAGAATGCCTTCCGTGACGCATTCAATGCTTGGAAATCGCGCTGGCAGCGCTGCATCGACGCAGAAGGAGCCTATTTTGAAAGTTTTTAAAGAATTGTAACGATTGGCTCAATAAATTTGTTTAAATCGACTCAGTCCTATTGCTTTCCGGACAAACCCTGTATGTTTAATAGAGTACTGCTTTCCTGGATCAGTGGCGTACGTATTTTTTTACTCCTCAAAACTTTCCTACGCAGTAATTATTTTTCCTTCCGCTTTAAACTAGTTGGCTGGGTCTGTGAGCCTAACCTGCCTCCCTTTGAATTATGGTTATGGTCTCCCACGGCGAACGTTCAGCGGCAGGTGGACAGAAGCTTCAATTCGTTCACGATTCATTTCAGAGTTGATTCCCGCAATTCCATAACGTGGTGTTAATGAGCAGCACTACAAAAAAAGAACCCGTAGAAGGAATCGATTTGGTCGATTCTGATGATCTCAGTTCCTGAATTAGAACTCGACAGTTTGGATACTAGCACTTCCGAAAGTCCACGCGGTTGATTTTCAACTGAACGCGTCTGTTAGGAATCGGATATTGGTTTTAATTTAAAAAATTCCAAAAGAAGAACTGTCTACTTATTACCATAAGTGGTACCTGAACATTGGCGGATTTAGAGAGGGGCCAGGGGTTGGGGACGCCCCCCACTTAGACGCCCAAGTCCGCCATTTTTTTTTCAACAAAATAGTATATACACCTATTGCTGTATCTTAGTGTAAAACTTACTTTGCTCGACCTGAATGGTGAACAATTCCCCTAGACGATTCCCAATTCAATTGTTACAAGGGCAGTTGCTCAAGGGCTTAAGCATGTCCCCAAGACGAACATTTTCCCAAACATTAATGCTGCGACTACCACTGCACCCCTACACAGATTCCTAAATCCGGTCACAGGGGTTCAAATTCAAACATGAAACAGGTTAAGGCGTATTAAGAGGTTCCCTCAGGAACTATATCAATTGGGGTACAATTTCTGATGAACTTTTCGGATGTTGAGTATGATTTGGAATTGCGCAACCGCGTATCGGGTACATGCACCACGGGTCGTGAACCGCCATCTAATAAGCTTCGATAACGACTCGAAAAAACGCGGGAGCGCTTCTGGATTTGTCGATTCGAAGATAAATACATGCACAGAAGGAAGATGTAGGGAAAGAGTCGATCGACAGCGGTTGATGGGCCAACAGTGCAAAACGCAGTAGTCCAGTCCTCATAGTAATAAATTTGTAATAAATTAGTTACAAGTGTTGGGACGAATTAGAGTGAAAGTAATAAATAATTAGTAAAAATGGTGTTATCAGTTTTCCTACTTCCTCATTTTAGAAATGTATCACCAGAACGTCAATTATTTCAGCTGGAGTGAGGATCAGTCTTTGTTTAGAGTAATTAGATACCACCATGCAAAATTTCAGCCATTTTTGTGAGGATTCGTCAAGATATTATCCACAAGTACTGGACTAATATGACATTCAACGGCCAAACAGCTTGATCCCCTTATCAGTTCATAGAAATCCACAACGTGCTTTATTTGAATTTGACTAGATTGTCCTGTGAATGAATTAGTTTGAAATGTTGATAACTAATTATCTTACATATCTTACATGAGTGCAATGTCATCAAAAATATTGTATGAACCTATTAAACAAAATGTATATCGAACTTGCAACTTTTACGTTTAGTGTCATGTTATTTAAAGGTAAACACACTCTGATACTATATATTTATATACATAATAATTGTAACATAGCTTATGGTGGTACGTCTGAGGTGTTTCATGTACTGATCTAGATTTTTTCTACATTGTGATGTTTTCTCGCAAAACTGCGTTGTACTATCCTATTTGACTGCGTGGCCTGTCTATTTTTCTAGTTATAATTTGGAAAAAAACCCTGTGCTCAGTTGGTAGATAATGTGACCGCAGAGTGTGATTCTTTGTACTTTGGCCTTTGATACAAACTTAAACTGACTGCCAAATGTTGGGTCTCTGGTGGTAAAGGAAACACAAATTCTCAAGGCACACACACATTTATTGAAAAAAAAATTAAAAGAAGTCCCCAGCTAAATGGTTTCCAGCAAAAACTAAAATTAAAAAAAAATCACCTTGGTATGTGCTTGGCTAGTACAGAATGGCGCGATTGATTCCCACTCAAGAGAAGGGATAGCTGCTATGAAGCCTCTCGAACGGAAAGCTACCCAAATGGAAGCTCCGAGGTAAAGGTAACCAAGGGTAGGAAGTCCCAGATGTAAATCAGAACTCGAAGTCAGAACCCTAAATAGAAAAAATTACTTGGTCAAAATAACCCGAAATAACAATTTGACTAATAATCCTACCTTTTAATTTGCTTCCGAGAATTAAAAATTTGAATTTAAAATGGAACCATTTAGCCTTGGGTTACATCAATTCAAAAATTTAAAATTAAGACAAAATGAGCATCAAAACTAATCACCAAGACAGAGGCCGTCTAGATTACAAAGAAAATTTCTGCACCAGACCGGATCTCTGTTACTGATGTTCCTGTCGCATTGGGAACAACACTATTTGAGTGTCATATTAGATAAAACTGTGATTTGAAAAACTCATATTAACAATTTAACGAAAAATGCATTGATTTCTTTTTGGCATTTATATCCGCTTTTGAGGCGAAACTCAAAATTAAATCTGGTAAATAAAATTCGCCTTTATACTATTATTATCCGCCCTACTTTGATCTACGCTTGTGCGTCTTGGTGCTTTGCCTCCAAGCCTCACGTGCGTACTTTGCAAGTCATGCAAAACAAAATTATCATTGCTATTCACCTCTTTATGGCAGCTCAACCTGTCATAGTAACCTTTTGTTGCGTGACGTGGACTCCGGTTTAAGCAGCTACACATAAAAGACCCCCTCTGGCTCTTTAAATCATAAATATTTTATCATTACTCCTAACCAAATTAAGCAACATTCGGAATACAAATTAAACAACTTTTACTCTTATTAGTTAATTATCTTCCCCTTTTTTTCTCGCCTTTCTTCTCTTCTTCCTTTCTTTCATCTTCCTCTATTTTCTACTTAATAAAAAATCTTCTCTGGTTGTGTTCAGGAAGATTTAGAAGAAACATCACTCTGCCAGACAAGATGCCAAGGTCCTGCATACCGCTTAAGTAACGAACGACGAGACGAGTCGAATCAGTTGCGTCTGACAATCGTCATAGTTTTCATTTTGCAGTTACGTAATAAAAGTCAATATGTTCTTAGTGATCCATTAAAACATAAACCAACAATAAACTGTTTTTGTTTCTATTTAATTCAAATGTTGGTTGAATTATATCTTGATCTATGAGCATCGAATATCGTATTTTACCAAGCGCCCAAAAGCGAACTGAAAGATACTAGCGCCATCTACGAAACAGGAACAAAATCAAGTAATATTTTCAGAGTACATTTCTAATTTCATTTTTATGTTCTTTCTCATAGAATACGATAATCAATGCTATAACTTACTAAGCGTACCCATAAGTGTACATGCTCTGTATACGGGGTGATGAAAGAAGCAGTGGCGACATTTCTAGGGCATAGTGTACTCGTACATCTAAAAATGATACAAAAAGATCTAAAGAAGAGTCCTAAAATGCTTTCTTACCTAAATAGTGGAGATATTTTGGACATTTAGGGCCGTATCGTTCATGGCCTCCTTGATTTTCATAGTTTTCTACTCTTCCGTGTCAGCGCTTTATTTTGAGGTTATGTTACAAATATCAATTTGCATCAAATTTGCATCAAGCTTTTGATTTATATCATTTGTTATATAGTCGGAAATTCCCTTCTATTCAAAAAGAAAGCCTCACAATAGGAGAGTGCTAACGCTGCAACTGAATAGTAGGACTCTAGAAATACTCCCAGCCTTTCGGAAGGATAGAAAAGACTACGAAAATCAAGTAGGTCATAAAGGCGTCCTACAATTGTATTAAGGATTGACGATACGGCCCTTATTAATTACAACATAACCAGTGTATACAAAAAAAAATTGTGTCTCAGACAATAACTAACGCGTATAAACTGGGATACTCTGACCCATATAGAACAAAAAACAAAAATATCTACTCCAGTGACTTTGAAGCAATATTTTTTGCACTATTGAAGCATCTTCCTTAAAAAAATTTTGTCAGACCACTCCTGTTGGAGAACAGTTTCGAATATTTGAAGTAAAATACGTATAAAAAACCATTTAACTTTGGCATGTATTGGGTAGTAGTAGTATGAATTACTAGACTTGTAGGCCACAGTCCCACCGCTGACATTACATTTTTCTTTAAGCTTTGCGGGTACATTTTCTTTATAATGTTGCAACTACCACCTTTTTACAGATGCTTTATGCCAGCCCCCGGTTCCCAGGATTATTGGTGGACGTGAAGCTAGTATAATGGAATATCCATATCAGGCTTCTATCCAGTTTTTCGGAAAGCATCAGTGTGGAGGATCGATAATCACGGAGCGTTTTGTTCTTACCGCAGCACATTGTATTATAGGGTATGTTTCTTAAGATGAATCACACCACCAAGTTTGCACATACATCTTGAACTCTATGCATACATGTCCATCTATAAGATCGCAACTCAAGATTTGTCCAAGTTTCAAGTTGAATAATGTAACGTCTGAAACTTATCTTGTGGTTATCATGACCAGACCTTGAAAATGACCGAGGTGGTCAAAACACAAGCCGACATATGTGGTTCCAAACATACAGTTGGTATAAAAATTTTGAACTACAAGTAAATATTTATATTCATTATATTCAAAAATAAAATGGAATCATATGTACTTTGCGCCACTTTCACACTCTAATAAGACACGCTTCTTATGTAATAATACCGTGTGCTGGAGAGAGATTCGATTATAGTACATTAATATATCGAATGGTAAGTTACTGAATTTACGATATTATTGTACTGAATATTCCTAATGTTTATTTTTGGTTCATTATTTTCTTTTTCGAACTATTGTGTGCGTTATTTTGTTTCTGCCCACTATGTCAGAGGATCACGATTCTTTTCCATACACGTACGATTTTTTGAGAAAAATGTTTACAGATTCCAAGTAATTCAAAACTAAATGAATGAGCGGATCTAAAATCATACCCTACTGATGGCTTCACAAATGGGTAGTCTCAGTTACAGAAAGCAAATATGTACTTTAAATAAGCTTTTTGACTTATTTAATGGACGTTCCCACTCCACGATAGAGATTTGTTTATCCCATACAAAGGTCATTTGTAGGAATGTCAAGGTGGGTATAGTGGAAGATATATATATATATATATATATATATATATATATATATACAGGGTGGCCCATCTATGTGTGGACGGAATATTACTAATAAAACATACATTTTGAGAAAATCTATTGATAACATATCATACATGACATGTGAGAGCACATTTCTAAAATATTGGCAATTATACAGGGTGTCCCAATTTTGACCTACATATTAAAGTTGGGATTTCTTAAATGGAATGCCTCAAATTTTATTGCATATTTAGATAAACTAATTCAAAAGAAGAAGATTGATATAACATACTATGGGGTTTTGGTGATTAGCTACTGAGATGTAAGGTGTTTTGTCCAGAAAAACCGTCCACTTCGGCAACCCCTCATACCGCCATTTGAAATTTGAAGTGCTGAATTTTATATCAAAAAAAACTTACACACCTCAGCTTTTATTTTATTTGTTACTTTTTCGAATTTTTATTTTTGCTTATACAGAGTGGTAAAAACGCAAATTGTACTTTTTCTCGAAAATTTCAAATGCATCACCATGTATATTTGTGCAAGTTTGGATACAATTTTTTATAAGCTTTTTTTTGGTATGAGGTTTGATTCAGATAAAATAACTAGATTTTGAGTTATTAAGCTTTTAATACAACACACCAACATTAAAGAAAAAAAATCACAGCATCCATGGAAAGAAAAGACAAACAGTGGGATAGTTCCATATTGCCACTAAGAGTACAGGTTTGACGTAAAAACTAATAACAATCAAAACAGTATGAACCAGCTTCAAGCGTAATAGAGAAAAACAACTATAACAACAGCATAAACAAACCACTATCACTAATCAAGACCTAATCTACAAAAACTGCTCGAAAATACCTCCACCATGTTAAATACGCAGCCGTAGTCTTTGGATAAATGACAGTCACAGAAGTTCTGCATATATCAGTTTCTGCTCCAATTTGCCGTGCACTGGAATGGGGATTTTCCTGCAACTTCAATAGAACCTCCAACTGATTCGCCTCATTAGTGACACTTGGATTAAAGATTAAAGAATCAACGTTGGCGGATTTTGGTTCTTGACATCCTTTACGATCGGTTACGATGCCTAGAGTACGGAGACCTGTACGATTTCGTCAACTTAGTGAGTTTGATAGGGGCCGTATAGTGCGACTTCGGGAAGCTGGACTTTCTTTTCGGGCAATTGCAGTTAGAGTGCAAAGAAGTGTAGACACTGTGGTTAGGTGTTGTCAGGCATGGCTTCGAGAAGGCCGTACGCAAAGAGCAAGGGGCACTGGACGCCGCCGTAGAACAACAGACCGTGAAGATCGCCGCCTAAGATTATTGGCCTTAAGGAACCGTTTCTCCACTACCAGGTCCATTGCAAATGAATGGTTTGCAGAACACGGAAGACCTATTGGCATGCGAAGTGTTTACCGACGAATGAGAAGTTTTGGCTTGTTTTCATACCGGCCACACTGGGTCCTCCCTTTAACTCGAGAACACCGACGTAATCGCCTTGAGTGGTGCAGACAACGGTCACTCTGGGATCAAGAATGGAACAGTATTGTCTTTAGTGACGAGTCTCGATTTTGTTTAGGCATGCACGATGGTCGTGCCAGGGTTAGAAGGCGACGTGGTGAAAGGAGGAATCCACAGTTTTTTGTTGAAAGACATGTTCATCACACTGTTGGAGTTATGGTTTGGGGTGCTATAGCTTATGGTTCCAGGTCACCTTTAATCTTCATCAGAGGTAACATGAACGCGCAGCGTTATATCCACGAAGTTCTAGAACCCCATCTTTTACCCTATCTTGTAACCCTGGCAGATCCAACTTTCCAACAAGATAATGCTCGACCACATGTTGCAAGAGTCACAATAGACTTCTTTCAACATAATGATGTCACATTGTTACCATGGCCACCAAGATCTCCCGACTTATCCCCAATTGAGCACGTGTGGGATATGATGGGTAGGGGATTGCTCAATTTGCAACGTCCTCCTCAGACTCTAGAAGCACTTCGAGAGGAGTTGGTGGTTGCCTGGAATGAGATACCACAGGAGGACATTGACCACCTGATGCCTAGGCGCGTTGGAGAACGCGTAGCACATCAGGGTGCATCCACACATTATTAAAGGTCAAAGGGCTTTAAAGCAGTGCAATCATTGTGAAATTTTTATCATTTACTTATTATGCTTCATTAAGTACTTATAAAAAAGTTTATTAAAATAAAATCATTTAAACTGGGTGTTCGGATTTATATGTCACTTAGTATATATAGCTCCGCACACTGCAAATTGAAAAAAACTTAAGAAGCTTGCGTTTTTCAATCAAATTATACTACAAATCCGAACAGTATTTTATTAATTGCGTTGAGGTGAAGTGACATCGCTCCCTCAACACATTTTAGATAAATTGCAGTAACAAACGTGGGACGGGTAGACCGATATCATCTGTAAATTTGTAACTATCACTTTTAAATTAAAATACAGTATTTATCTATCAGGTTCATTATACCGAACCTCAACTACCCGGCTTGGGTCACTCAAAGGATACACTAGCAGAGTGGTAGCGGAGGAACATTTGTGATGATCTGACAATATACAGGGTGTCCGCAAAGTTGGGGTTTTCCTTTACACGACGTGTAGATCTTGAAAGCATGAGCAATTTTTCTTAGTATGTACCAATGTCTTAAGGGAACCGAGATAAAGGGCTCTGCAACATCAAAAATATCTGAATACCGTCCTGTAGCCGCGACATCACCGACTGGTACAAGATCACTGGCTCATACGCGAAGACAGAACTGGGTCGGGGTCAGTGTGTCAGGTCAGTATGCAACCTTTAACCGACGGTTACGGTCACGCGTGTAGAGGTAATCGCGTGAACGAGAATCCCTCAACAAGCACTAGAGACGTGGCTAGAGAAGTGCAAGTATCAAAAACTAAAGTATGGCAAACGCTGCGTGAAGAGGGGCTGTATCCGTTTCACGTCCAACGTGTACAAGCCCTTCAACCTGACGATTTTCCAGCAAGAGTGCGGTTTTGTGAGTGGTTGTTGCATCAGCATGACAATAATCCGGACTTTTTGAAGTGCATATTGGTGACAGACGAATCTACGTTCACGCGTAATGGGGTGAATAACTTTCGCAACACTCATGTTTGGTCAGTAGAAAATCCGCACGCTGTCCGTCAGGCACATTTTCAACAAACATTTTCGGTGAATGTTTCGGCTGGCATGGTGAAGGGTATGCTCATTGGACCATTTATTCTCCCAAACCGATTGGACGGGATGCAATACCTAGACTTTTTACGCAACATTTTGCCTTCCTTGTTATAAGATGTGCCATTAAGTGTAAGATAATCAATGTGGTTTCTGCGTCTGCTCGGTAGCGCATCAGCTGATTTCATTTTCTGTTGGAGCGATATGATTTCGGGCAGAGACGTACTTAGCCCTTCTCGTCAAATAGAGAGTGGGTACTTTTTCCTTTATTTTTTTTTACTTCGTCGCCCTCGTTTCACTACACATTACCTTTGTTATTTCAAGGGTAGTTGTTTCTGAAAAGGAAAACCCCAACTTTGCGGACACGCTGTATAAAAGATAATTTATGATTCAGGTTAATATTTTACTCATAACCTACAATTTCTTGAACTAATAAAGTATTCGCTGATTATGTGTATTCATTATAATGCCACTCGTTGAATTTTAATTGTTATCAGCCACTTTAAAGATACAAAACTACGAGTATATCGAAAGATATCCATCGTATAAGGAATTCATCAATCAGATAAGACACTCTTTAAAACCTATCATGTATATGATAGTCAATCGTATATGACATCAGCAGGTGTGTTTAAAATGTCCGCTGCTACAGTTTTAGCAATTGTTGCTACCTTTTCTGTCACCACAGGTAAGTAACCGTTTAGATACTTTTGTTTCTTGAAAAGCCGAGATGCGAGTGCAAAAAATGGAGCATGCTAAGTCGTACTGTGATAGGGTATGTAGATTCCAAATCTGACGTTAGTTTGACACGAGAACCCACCGTACAACTAAGGGCCGTATCGTCAGTCGTTCCTACAATTGTAGGACGCCTTTATGGCCTCCTTGATTTTCATAGTCTTTTCTCTCCTTCAGAGGGGCTGGGTTATTTCTAGATTTCGACTGTTCCGTGTCAGCGTCAGCGCTCTCCTATTCTGATGTTTTGTTTCCTTTTCTGAAATGTAGGAAATTGAAGGGCGGATAAAAAAGATGATAAAAAT